CAAACTGAGTCAGAGAAAGAAGAAACTTATCCAACAATTTGGTCAACTAGGGAGTTCTAGTGGCCAAATGGCGAAAAGCTGCACTGGAATCCTGAAGGCATGCAGCTCAAGGCCAGCAGAGGCTCTGTGGAAAGGATAGGCAATCTCCTCTCGTGCGATTAACTGTCTCTGAAAATTCACTGAAAGGCCATCTATGGATTGGATCCAACTTGATGGTACACAAAAACAACAAGAACATTAAAGAATTATTAGAATTAGAAATACCTTGAAATAATACTACAAGAAGATGGGATGTGGTGGTTTGAAAAGTGAAATTTTCAAGTGCAGTTTTGAAAGTATATAGTAATTGGTAATGACAAGATCTGTGTAGGTCTTCTATAGGTAACTAAGGCAGGATAAAAGGGGGGGAAAGTCTTGGGGCAAAATTTCAATAGATCAGAAACCCAAGGAAAGAAAGCTCTCATCTACATAAATATTAAAACTGACAATAATAATATAGCATGAATATCACCAGAGCAACAGTTCAGATCCAGAAGGTAAAACATCACAGAACGAGCTACAATTAACCAAGAAGTCTGTAGATGTTATTTTAAGCATTTTAATAGTGAATAAAAATGAACACAATATAAATAATTATTTGTTCAAATGGAAAAGGAAATAATTGAAGCCATAAAAGCACTTAAGGCAATAAGTATCAATAAAGGCCCTGAAAGCATCAAATTTGTTTCATTCCCAACATAGTATACCATTACCATTTTCTGGGTATCTAAGGTTTATCATTTAGATGTCTTTCCTAGCCAATCATTAATTATTTTGTACTGAAGTGGCAACTATACATACTAAGGAGAGAAGATTAGTATGGGATACAAGCCCCATCCTACCAGAGGTTTATATAAGCTCATAGGCCCTTTGCACTAGGCACCTTCTCTTGTGGACATAGCATCCAGGCTGCATCATCCACTGTCACCATCCAGCTGCACCATGACTCACAGTCTATAGGATCCTGGCCCATTGCTCATCAGTTTCTACAATACCAGCCTGCAGTCACATGAATCATTCCTCTGATGGGTCTGTGTCTCTGGGAGACCTTCTAGCAAATCACCAGATCCCAGGGCTGGAGAAGAATTGAAAAACTTGGGCATGGATGGAGTGGTTAACATTAGAAGTTACGGATTTATACAGCTGGCTAAGCATCTGGAACAGCATTGACCTGAGATGACTTACACATAGCGTGCTACTAATCTTAGTAGGATGAATTACAAAAACATATTTTATCATAAATCTTATAATAATAATAAAAACCTACGACTTACATCCATGAAGAATGCAAAAGAGGTCACTACAAAGATAGAGGAGAAAGAAAAGACCAAGATGGATGTCAGATGAGATTCTGAATATAGTACTAGAGTGCCGTGAAGCCAAAGCAAAGGGAAGATATTAAGAAGCTAAACAGAAGATTTCAAAGGGCAGTGCGAGAAGACAAAGTATTATTATGAAATGTGCAAAAAGCTGGAGTCAGAAAATCAAACAGGCTGAGCTCTCTTGGCATTTCTTAAGCTGAAGGAACTGAAAAACAAATTCAAACCTCAAGTTGCAATACTTAAGAATGTTTTGGGCAGAATATGAAATGATCTAGGAAGCACTGAAAGAAGATGGAAGGAGTATACAGCATCACAGTACCAAAAAAGAATAGACTGACAGAAGAATTTCATGAATCAAAGTATAAACAAGAGCCTGTGGTGATGAAAGAAGAATTTCAAAGTTCAAGCCACAATGAAGAAATTGGCAAAAACCAAAGCCTCAGGAATTGATGGCATATCAATTGACATATTTCAACAAACAGACGCTTCCCTGGATGTGGTTACCAAGTTGTGTCAAGAGACCTGGAGGACAACCACCTGGTCAACTGACTGGAAGAGATCCATATTTGCTCTCATTCCAAAGAAAGGTGACCCAACAGAGTGCTGAAATTATCCAACAATATCATTAATATCATACGCAAATCAGATTCTGCTGAAAATTATCCAAAAGTGACATCGACAAAGAACTGTCAGATGTGCAGGCTGGGTTTAGAAGAAGCCACGGTACTAGGGATATTATAGCTAATCTTAGATGGATCTTGGCTGAAAACAGAGAGAACCAGATGAATGTCTGTGTTTCATTGACTATGCAAAAGCATTTGACTGTGTGGATCACAACAAACTTGACTACCTCTGAGAAGAACGGGAATCCCAGAACATTTGATTGTGCTTACACAAAACCTCTACTTGGACCAGGAGACCGCTGTCAGAACAGAGCAAAGAAACACTGCATGGTTCAAAATCAGGAAAGTTATATGCCAGGGATGTGTCCTATCTCCACACCTTTTTAATCTATATGCGGAACAGATCTTTCTGGAGGCTGGGCTCTATGAGGAGGAATGTGGCATCAGGATTGGAGGAAGACTCATTGACAACCTGCATTATGCAGATAATACAACCTTGACAGCCAAAACTGAGGAGGACCTGAGGCATTTGCTACAGGTCAAAGACTGTAGACTTCAATGTGGATTGAAGCTCAACATCAAGAAAACAAAGATTTTCACTAGTAGGTCAAATGGTCGCATCATGACAGGCAGTGAAGAGACTGAAATTGTTAACTTCAGCTTGCTTGGCTTCACAACAACACTCTAGGTGCCAACACCCAGGAAATAAAAAGATTAATTGCACTGGGAAAATCTGCTGTCAGGGACTTCTCCAGAGGAATGAAGAGCAATGATGTCAGTCTAGGGATTAAGGTGTACCTGATCCAGGCCATGATCTTTGCAATTACTGGGTATACATCAGAGAGCTGGACAATGACTAAGGATAGAAGAATAATTGATAGAAGAATTGATGCCTTTGAGTTGGGGCTGGAGAAGAGTACTGAATATACCATGAACTGCAAGGAGAACAAACAGGTTCATCCTGGAAAGGGTGAGACCATGCTTCTCGGAGGCAAGGATTTTAGCTTCATCTGACATACTTTGGGTATGCTGTAAGGAGGGACCAGTCCTTGGAGAGAGACATCATGCTTGGAAAAGTGGAGGGACAGTGGAAGAGAGGAAGACTCTGGATAAGATGGATTGACATGGGTAACGGAGATAGGTGTGTCAGAGACAATGAGGTTGGCTCAAGGTATAGCAAGGTCCTGAGCTGTTGTACTAGGGTCACTATGAATCCCAAGTGACTCAACGGCACATAACAACACAACAACATCCAGGGCCCAGATGCTCTAAAACCCAAGGAAAAAAATCAACCAATTCTAACCTGGAGTAGCAGAACTGCTCAGGTGACCTTCTAACTTATGAAAGGTAATGAAAAATGGTTATAAAAAAATACAAGTTTTAGGGAGCTCTGGTGGCCTAGTGGCAAGAAGCTGCACTGCAATCCCAGAGGCACCAAGTTAAAATCCACCAGATGCTCTGTTGGAGAAGGAGGGGCAATCTCCTCCTGTACCAGTTAGACCCGATTTGATGGTACACACACAAAATATAATAAAATAAAATAAAAATTAAAAAAATAATACAAGTCTTATGTAGGTTCGTTATACAGCAAAATTTAGCTGACACTTTGTTTCCCTTGGTCTATGTCTAACTTTTCCTGCTTCTTGTGTACGGAACAAAGGCAAAACCCAAAGTTAACTATTGTCGTTGTTAGTTGTCTTTGAGTAGAGTGCAATTCATAGTGACCTTATGATTATCTAACCTGAAACTTGCCCTATCCTGTGGCATCTTCTCCATCTCTGAGATACAAGACGACGTTGCGGAAGTTACAGTGTCAAACCACCTTGTTGGGGATCTTCGCTGACCATGCATCTTTCCAAGCATGAAGTCGTTTCCCAAGGAATAGCCTCATCTACCTACATGACCAAAGTATGAAAAACAAAACTTCATCATCCTTGCCTCCAAGGTACACACTGGCCATACACTTTTTAGGATATACTCTTTGTTCTTTGGCAGTCCATGGGCTATTCAGCAATCTTCTCCAGCACCACAACTCAAAGGCATCAGTTCTTCTGCCTTGTTCACTGTCCAGCTCTCAAGCGCTTTCTGCTCCAAAAAGGACTTCATATTCCTGCTCATCACCCTGAGGCTTGTAGTTTTATGTGGTGCAGGAATATGAACCTTTGTCCCACTGATTAGGATTTTGCCATATGACTTGCTTTGGTCAACAGCGTGTGAGTAGTTTTGACATGTGCCACATCTGGGTCAAAGTATGTTTCTGCCAGCACTGTACCTACCCCTCTTCCCTCAGCTGTGAAAACAGAAGTCCTAAAATGGAGAGAGATGCTCCTCCACCACAGATGCTAGAACAATAAAGGATACAAGCCTAAAATCAGCTTACAGTTGCTGTATATGTATGTATAGTTTCTCTGTGTAACCTAAGTGACAGATGAATTTTTGCTGTAGTAGACCACTGAAATTTGGGAATTGTTTATAATCCAGAACAACCTAGTAAAAGCAGAATAAAGAATAGCTTCTTAAAGCAAATAACTTCAGTAGAATAGAGTTTTCTTTTTCATTTGATGTTGTTGTTGTTGTTATGTGCTGTTAAGTCACCTGCGACTCATAGCGACCCTATGTATAACAGCCCTAAATTCTGCCCTGTCCTGTGCCAATCTCACTATAGAAAAACATTTATTAGATATGTAAAAAAACATTGTTCCTCTACCCTATTTGTCCCTAGCTCTTATGGAAGATTGTTCCTTAGTTATCCCCAAAATAAGATTTTTATAGCATATACTATCACTGCTAATTACAAGTATCAACAGATATTATCATTAAACCACACGATACACACAAAAACTACAAAGACTGTTCCTCTCATGAAGACCCCTGTGACACACACACACAACATACATACATGGAAATAAGCTTTCTCTAGTAAGGAACATATCTGAACTTCTAAAATAAAAGACTAGATAAAGAGTGCAGGATGGACTTTTGTCAAAGGAACTAATGGGATGAGAAGAGCACTTACTGGGCTGGGGATGGAGTCTGGATCCAGCTTCTTTGGGGGCTGGGGTGGGCCTGCCATCTGTGCAGGGCCTCCGGGGAAGCCTCCTGGGTAGGACAGCTGTGTGCCAGGCATTGGAGGGCCAAAATTGGCTACGTGAAGACAATTTTAGAAAGAAATAACTATAAATGACTGTAATTATGAACCCCAGACACAGGGCTCAGGGACTGCGTTTTTATGCTGCATTTTTCACCTTATTAAATATATTCTATTTATCAAACTACAATAAAAAGTTTAAAAATATTAATTTTTTAATTCATTTATTGAATTATTTAATGTATTCTATTTCTACAGGGATCTATAAATATGGTTTCTCATTTCTTTGCTATTGCTGTTCTAATAAAAGTACCCACCATTCCTTAAAAGTTAGTGACAGATATCTAGTAACAGAGAAGAACCCAAAGCCTTGTCTTGAACCCAGCCAGCCTTACCTTGCTGTGGAGAATATCCTGCACCCATGGGCTGTCCTGGAGGAGGTGGGTGCTGGTACTGGGCGTTTGGAGGAGCTGGTCCAGCAAGCCCATCTGGCCTGTGCACTGGTGGAGACAAAGGTGAGGGACCAGGACCATTTAGTGCAGTGGGTGGTGGAGGAAGGACCTGCAATCCAGGCTGCAGAATGGACGGCTGTGTAGGCCGAGGTGGACCCTGGATTTGTGCTGTCGATGGAGGGCCAGGGGGGCCCTGACTAGGGGGACCCATGCTTGAACCTGTGGGAGAAAGACAGTAGCCCACTTAAAAGTCAACTCTCAACTTTGTAACATCTATAAAGTTCACTATGTGGACAGTTTACCATATAAAGTTAAAAAGAAAAAAACCTATACAACTCTATCTTACTATTAGTGCATCAGAACCAACTCATAGGTGACTTCCCAATGGGTTTCCAAGGTTGTAAACTGCAGAGGCAGAGACTGACCCTTTTTCTCCCACGAGGCTGCTGGTGGGTTCAAACTTCCAGAGAGGTACAGCCTTGAGGTTAACAAAGCAAGTCCCAATGAACTAGGTCGCCAGCACGCCCTTGAGTTGAGGCACTCTTATAAATCACGTATTTTATCCCCAAGATAGAATCTTTCCTCAGAAAATTATGCTCTTGGAACAGCTTTATGTATTTGCAGAATTTTAAAAGGATAAAAGCAATTTATAACTTTAGTAGTATCACAAGTCGCATAATTTTACATGATGCACGCCATTAATGAAAGAATTATTTTTAGGGAACTTTGGTGGCCCAGTGGCAAGAAGCTGCACTGTGGTCCCAGAGGCATGTGGTTCAAGTCCACCAGATGCTCTGCTGGAGAAGGAGGGGCAATCTCCTCCTTTACCAGTCAGATCCAATTTGATGGTACAAACACAAAAAATAATAAAATAAAATAAATTTTTTTAAAAAATTATTTTTGCTACAAAAGAGGGGAAATTATATAGAAGAAAATTTTATTTAATATCAAACATTAATCTCAGGTAATATATAAAATTATGTCCATCCTGTGCATGACTTGATCAAATGACTTCAGAACTAGGCAGAAGAAGTAAGGATGGGCTGTTATGTTAACAGGCTTTCTAATTATTTGGGGAATAGCTGTGAAACTAGATGATTTTTCCCCCCTTTCTCTAATTAAGCGAAACTTAGATACATCTTTGGAGATAATATCCATTTGGAAATCAGTAAAGATAGAAAATATTCTGAAGGATTTTCTCCTAGTATGTAAAAAAAATTAGTTTTAAGTTATATAGAGCCATTCACCATCAAAATTAATGGCCAGCCACACAGCTATTGAGCTTTATATGGCTCCAAGAATAAACAGTCTTTCTATTGATTTAAATCTCAGTACTGTAATTGTTTCTTCCCTATTATACCCTTTTCTCACAACAGTTGAATTTTCATTCTTTCCATAACCTAAACATAGAATTAGAATTCACTGTAAAACAAAGGGTACTATATTTTCTAATTGGGGGCCCCATAATAGGCAACACTACTCTTGTATTCACTGAATTACACATATAGAAACTGCTGAATTGGTGTACGTTCTGTTGTGTATCTTCTCAACAGCAGCAAAACGGAAATTATTTTAAAAAATTCTGCAGATACTGTTCAAATGTGTATTAATAAAGTCAGCATTTTTTTGCCATCCATTATGTATTGTTTTGTATTGAACATAAGGTATTCTGAGGGTCCTCCCTGGAAATGATAATATGACCAAAGAACAAAAATATTAATGTCATATATACACTGCTTTTGTGGCCTAGACAGTAAGGAGTTGTATTGCCAACTACAAGATAGGCAGTTCCAATACACTCGCTGTACCGTGGCTAATCTCCTCTCATGCAATTTACAGCCTTTGAAAAGTTTCAGCTATGAGTCAGTTCTAACTCAACAGGACATGACAACAACATACACAGATGATGTGTATAAAAATTCCAGAACACTACCTCTGTATATGATGTCGGTTATGTCTTTTTAAAAAAAATTAAGCAATTATTTCCCTTTGAAAATAATCATGATTAATTGAGGCAGTCACTGAATAATAATAATAATAATGAAGCCTGTACCATAGGTGTTAATCTGCATGGCACTGAGCTGACTGTTCAGTTGGGTGACGGAAGTGGACACAGGACTTGGATAAGCGGGTTGCGGAGAGGGTGAATATGACGTATAGGAGGGCGCTGCATTGTTGATCGGTGGAGGGCCTGGAAATCTAAGAGAAGGAGGAAGAGGGTTAAATAATACCACAGAATCTCATGAGCAAGTGACACTTGACAAATGCTAGTAACTTGTGAAAGTTACTAAGCCCATTAAATAATCACTAGGAAAATTATTTATATATTGAATGCTTAATTAAATGAGTCAGGTAGCATTTTCTCCTAACCACATTCACGTGCTGAACATAACAAGACATTTAGGGAAATCTCTTTATGTACAACATAGAAGCAGCTTTGGAAATTTACTTAAGAAGCAAAGTATACCAAAGTCTCAAATATACTAGAATTAATGATCAATTAATTTCTTTTAAGAAAAGAAAAAAGTTAAAATGCTTTACGGCTCATTAACTACTATCCATTGACTTATTTCATAGTCAGTTTTTAAGAACATTGCCTCTACTGTAAGTTGTTTGTCAGATTGTCTACAAAACAGCACTAGAAATTAACTCAGTAAGACATTCTGAAATCATTCCCTCTTCAAAAGACCCTAAAAAACCTTCATCTTTGATTTAGAGGCAAGAATGAAGAAGCTTTGTCTCACAGACTCTAGATATGTTAACTAGGAGAGGCTATTCCTTGGAAAAGGATATCATGTTTGGAAAGGTCAGAGAAAGAGAGAAACACCTTCAGTGAGATGGATTGACACAGTGACTGCGGCAATAACCTCCAGTGTGTCAGAGATGACGAAGACGGCAACAGGATAGGACCGGGTTCAAGTCTATTGTTCATATGGTCACTGTGAGTTGTACTGGAGTTGACAGCACTTAACAATAAAAATAATCTAATGCTCATGTGAGTATACGCTTTAGGAGTTAGAGTTCTGAAATGAGCAAGTAATGTATTTCTTTCTGACCATTTAGGTAACTTTTTTTTTTCTGACTACTTTCCCATTGTACCCTATTTCTTAGTCAATAAACACAGTTTCATTTGGAAAGCCAAGTCTCCTCTCTTTACCAATTTACCATTTCATGATTAAAACAAAGCAATTACCACTTGATTTTTTCCCTTTTAGTTAAAAATAGAGGGCTTTTTTATGTCTTATCAAGATAGCTAATTTCCTTACCACTTACACCAAGCTTAAGGTATTTATGCTACGACAGCTAAGATCAAAGGTACATGTAACTAAAAAGAAAAGTACATATGACTAATTATGATATTTAAATCTTATTAATCATTAGCCTTTGAATGTCAATATTTTAAAGATAATAATTTAAAATTTAAATTAGCTTGTTGTTGTTGTGTGCCATCGAGCTGAAACTAACCAAAGGGTCGGGGGCAGTTGAGATTGCCCACCCTTCTCCCACAGAGCAGCCGATGGATTCCAACTATGTGCCTTCAGGACTGCAGTGCAGGTCTTACCACTGGGCCATCAGAGCTCTCTAAATAAGATTCATAGTGCTCAATTACATTATTTTACTGGCTAATTTATATAAAGTAAAACATGACTGGCTTTCTTTGTCATCATTCTTAAAAGAGGTAGACTATTGTCAGTCTTTGACAACCCTTGAGACTAGTGTCATTGACCTGCATCATCATAGTACCCTTTGTCCTTGCTTTGCACTATATACACTGAAACACATCCCATGAGGGCAATGTAACAGGGTGGACTTGGAAATTTAGACTGAAATATCAAATCTTTCCCTATCTTTCTTGGTCCTGTTCTTTGTTTTGTTTTGTTTTTTAACTCCAACTCACTGTGCAAGTTAACATAAGGGAGCGTGGAGAAGAAGGGGCAAAAACCTGTCTATGCTTCCTGGGAATCACAAAAACGGCAGCTTCCTGAATTCTGCCCTGTATTACTACTGGACTAAGTCAATGGAAAAGTTAACCATAGACTGAGAGTTGAGTCCTTCAGCTAACTACTTTGCACTCATTCATATTAAAAAACTTCAAAATCACATTATTGTTACAATTTTGATAAGCAAAATCAACACATAGGTAGAGGTTAAGTAATTTGCCCAGCTGGTAACTGCCTGAGCCAAGCATAATATGACATCCATACTGAAGTACACCAGACCTTGCACTTAATGTACAAGTACACAGCTGGGTCTGTCTAATGACGAAGTACAGGATTTACTTCCTACTTAGCAATATAACTCATAGATCTCATATAAATGAGATAAACAGTACTAATAAAAAAGATCAGTCTAAAACAAGCTAATACCAGTAACTAAAAAGTTTCCTTCATTTAAAATCACTGTTTAGTCTTTGCATTTCTACTAAAAATATCTTGAGATGCCAGCAGGTTCCCAATAATTGTTTCCCCAGTACTACTGCACTAAGAAGTCTACCTCTTAATTATACAAGTAAGGGAAATGAGACCCCGAAGACCAAGGAGTATCACCAGCATCAAACCCCGTGCCACTGAGTTGATCCCAACTCATTGTGACCTTACAGGGTAGACTTTAAAGCCAACAAGGTTTCTACGGCCTTGCATCTTTGTAGAAGCTTGACTGACACATCTTTCTCCTACAGAGTTCAAGCCTCTGACCTTGTGGTGAGCAGCCAAGCATTTTAACTACTGTGCCACCAGGGCTCCTTACAAGCATCACAGAGCTAGTTAATTGTCCAATTAGAGGAGGTATTGGGTCTCATTTCTGCTTTCCCCTCCTTTATGCCTTTTCTGAAGCCAGAGGCACTTCCCTAAAGCTTTTGACTCAACTCACACTTATATTTCTCCTTAGTAACTTAGTTTCTTCCTATTTCCTGCATTAATCTTTCCTCTGCATCCTCCAGTTCCCATTCCAGTTGTAAATGTTGTCATGATAAATGAAAGCTATGAAGTGTTAAGCCCACAAATGTCCTATAGGAGAATCAACCTGATCTTAAAAATCCCAAAGGGAATTTCCCACTAGCAAGGATTACAGGCTGCGTAAAAGGGTAACCAAAGGGCTTCTCTGTTAGCAGGGTCCAGGTCACAGTTAGGGGTCACTCCCCTCAGACACCAGTCTACCAACCTCAAAAAGAATATGAGAAAGAAAACCTCTGGGTAATCATTGGAAGTATTCCAAAGTAAATACTGTTTAGGGTTTAGCATTGAGGTTCTCAACAGCAACACTTTGTAAGACAAACAATAATAAATTTCTAGCAGGCAAGGTGTGGTGCTGGCACACTTCCCAGGGGCACTGTCTCTAGTGGGTTGAGGGTGCTGCATACCTCATACCCTGGCTGATACAGGTCTGCACCCAACTTCTCCCTCTCTCAACTTATTATAAACACAAACACAAGATGTGTTTCCTATGTTCTTTCATTACAGTTTTTCCTTCTGGAGATTTTTTTTCCATGTAAAATCCTTAGTCTTTATCATTGGCCTTAAGTTTAATCCTAAAAGTATTTATCAAGTTTATTGCTACAGAGCTTCATTCTGTAAAGAATTCAAGAGCATAGGGTGCTTCAAAATTATGAGGAATATAGGTTTTAGAAACCTGAGGTAATTGAAAAGTAAAGCAAGACTATAAAATAAAATTATTATAATCCAGCATTGAACTATGTGGTAACAACATGAGTAATTTTTCTATATTAAAAAAATAAAAGTACTCTCTACTCAGAATATTATTGCTTTTCAATTTTTGACTCATGTACTTTTAACTTGTTAGTTAAATTTGTATCTTCTAGGCTGCAACACTTCCATGATACATCTTCAAGGATATGAACATGTACGGCTAAGCACAATTGATAACAGTGCATCTAAATTCCAAAATCAATCTCCATAATAGTCTATGTGTTTCCTACTGCCAAAGGGGCCCTTTGGAGTAGTGAGAGAAGACCTTCACCCTGAAACCCACAGCGTCCCTTTTCAGCAGGAAGTAGCTAAGATAATACGCCATCCCCTTTTCCTTATGAATCAGGGTGAAGTCTCTCTCAGGGAGGAGTGATAGGGAATGGCAAGGGACACACTGACAAAGGAGACTAATCAGAACTGGCTTTGACAAGCACTGTGGCAATTGGACAATTTAAACAGACATGGGGGGAGGGGAAGAAGAACGAACTGGGAATGAGGGTGGAGAAAACAGTGCAACAATGAATGAATGAAAACCCAAAATCTCTGTAAATGTTCATTAAAACGAATAAAATTTAATAGAAAAAAAAAGTACTCATACTGTTTTGGGTATTTTTTTTCTTTCTTTTACTTCTTCTAAATGTTTTATTTCATAACGAAGTTATCTGTTTGTTCTTTTTAGGCCAATAAAAAGAGTCATCTCCCCAATGACTCACAGGACAACTCATGAATGACAGGTTAAAACTTTGGCCACTCCTGCACTATCCACACAATCTCTGTTGGGTTTAAGCCTAATGTTGTAGCCACTGTGTTAATCCATCCTGTTGAGGGTCTTCCTCTCCTTCACTGACTTCACGATCCATGTCAGTCTAAAAGGCACTTCTCAAACAGCTTGAACAGAATACATAAGAAGGAGGATTTTGATTGATCCAGCTCACCTTTGCGGTGGATGCCCGGAAGCATGAGCTCCATTATGACCAAATTGATGGGTTCCAGGTGGTGGAGGACCTGAAGGCAACATCCCCCCAGGACTGGCAGTCCCCAAGGGCCCTGCTGGTTTCATCATACCTGCAATGAAAGGCATGCTTTTAGAAGAGTATGGTATTAAATGTAAAGAGAAACAAACCAAGATATTAACTTACAAAGATTATAGGGGTGGGAAGACGGAGAAATGAAGCAAAGGAGTTAGGGCAAATTCTCCCTTTGAACTTTCTTTAATCCTTAACTGCAGACTTATACACTGAGACAATGGTGATTCAGTGGTAATTCTCATGACCCACAAAGACAAAGTTTACCAGTGAACCTCAAACACAGTTACCACCCTTCTGACAGTGAGTGCTATGATGGAACAGGTTCCAACAGAGCTCCAAGAGAATGCATTCTAAGAAGAAAGATCTGGTTCTCTGCTATGAAAACCTTACAAATCATCAGGGTCCAATCAAACCCAAAGGCCATCAAGGGAATGATATAAGACCAGGTAGCCTTTCATTCCATTGTGCATGGGGTCACAATGAATTGGGGCCAATTTAATAGCAGCTAACAACAATGACTTATTAACTTCTGGTATAATTATTTAGATAATATAGTGATAGCCAGAGCTAGGAGGAAAGGACTCATTTTAGCACTAATTAATTTTAGCACAGAAATTAAAACAGAAGAAATAACTTTGCATCTGTGAGTGGTACCATGACAGAAAACACTACAGAATCCAACTGGAAAAAATGCCAGTTGGATATAAAAAAAATAAATCTGCAAAAACAGAATCAAGAGGAATTAAGTATTTCAACTCTAATTATGAAAAACAAAACACTTCTAAAATCACCTTTCTGAGAGTTATAAAAACAAATGGAGAGCAGTTTCTGTTTGGCCAATAAATCAAGAGCACATTCCTTGAAGATTAATCATTTTCCCAGGATCCCAAAAGAGATTAGTGATATGCAGTTGGGGAATCTTCAAGTCCTCATCACACTTGCTCAGACAAAACAGAGAATCACTTACAATCAGTAGAGGCTCCTGGCAATGACTGAATTTTCATTTACAAGCAGCCCATTTTGAAAAGAGACATTTAACATTTTTTTTCAAAATGTTTTCCAGTCACTATCAATATCTCCCACCCCATTCTTTTTCTTCCAGATAAATAATGATATAAAAGACATTGAGATTTGATTAAAAATTAGTTTGGTGCACACTCATGTTTATTACTGTGTTATTCACAATTGCAAAGATATGGAAGCAACTCAAGTGCCCATTAACAAATGAATGGATAGAAAAACTATGGTACATTCACACAGTGGAATATTATGCAACACTGAAAAACAATGAACTCATAAAACATCATACAACATCGGGGATCTGGGAGGACATTATGCTGAGTGAAATATCTCAGTCGCAAAAGGACAAGTATCACATAGCATCACTGTTATAAAAAAGCACAGACATGGGGGATTGAGGAGAGATTGGGAGGGGGGGAAGTGGATAATGAACACTGCATTAGATCAGATGAGGGGAAGAACTGTCCAAAAGGAATATATGATTAGGCATTATATGTATGAGAATGATCTGGAACAAAGGGGGCATTGCAGAGAGGACTTGGGGAGAGGAGAAGAAAATGTGCAACAATGAAAAAAATTAAATTAAAAATACTAAGTCTGGAGACTAAGGTACATTTGATTCAGGCCATGGTCCTTTAAATCACTTGCTATTCATTTCAAAGCTGGACAACTGATAAGAATGATAGAAAAGGAACTGATGCCTTTGAACTGTGGTGCTGAAGAAAGAATACTAAGTATCCCATGGACTGCAAAAATAACAAACAACTCTATCTCAGAGAGTATACAGCCAGAATATTCCTTGGAGGCAAGGAAGAAGTAGCTTCATTTCACATACTTTGGGCATGTTGCTAGGAGAGGCTATTCTATAGAGAGGGACATCATGCTTAGAAAGGGTGAAGGGTCAGAGAAGACCCTCGATGAGATGGACTGGCCCAGTGACTTCAGCAGTGCGCTCATGTGTGTCAGAGGTAACGAAGATGCAACAGGACAGGGCAGGGTTCAGATCTGTTTTTCATAGGGTTCCTATGAGCTGTACTCGACCTACCAGCATATAACAACATGCTTTTACTAGTAATTACATAACAACAAACAAGATGTTTATCTCTGAGGACATCAATTTCCTCAGATGTTTGGATAATCTAGATTGGAAAGTAATTAGTGAAATGGAAATTTTTGTGGAAAATATTACTGAAATATTTACAATGATTCCCTCTCTGTTTTTAAAACAAGATTCTGTAAACTTAAAAAATTATATTGACTCAAGAACCATAGTCTTAATTAGTAACTTTTCATCTGCCAAGGACAAGAATAGTAGTTAGTGTTCTTACAAAATTCCATTTTCATATAAAGTTCTACACTCCAAACTTTGTTGGTTAGAATTACACATTAAAAACCTTGACTTTTAACACTGTGTCATGGTCTTCTATAATCAAGAACTGGTCCAAGAACTGAACAAGGGAATGCATGAGAACACAGAGAATAGAATAAAGCCTGAGATCTAAAGGTAAGCACACAGCAAAGTCTGTGTCCTTGCTTCTGGATACATTTGCTGTCCTCATATTTGTTAGATTTGTATTCTAACAAAACATATACCTCATAATCATATGTGTGTTGCTGTGTTGTGTACTGCTGAGTTGGTACTGACCCATAGCTGACCCTTCAGTGGGTTTTCAGAGGCAGTTAATCATAAGGAGGAGACTGCTCATGCTCGTCCCGCAGAGCTGCTCATGGCCTTGAACCTCATGCCTTCAGGATTGCAGTGCAGCTTCTTGCCACTAGGCCACCAGAGCTACAATGTACAGTCAGTCATATTTTCATTTTTCATCTGTGGCCCTCAGGTCTGGTTCAAATTGTTTTCCTGTCAAACATTCTTCTAGGTGGTATAGCATTGGTCTGTGCATTGCTGTACAGAGGTAACTCGTGGTTGCTGTGAGGCTGAACACTGTGACACTGATGTGCCAAATGTGATAATGGTTACCCATGGTGGACAGTGTTTGCTGGAGCTTCTCCATTAAAACAAGCCTGGAAGCAGGAGTGGCATCCACCTCCGTAATGGCTTGCCTCCAGAAACTTTATGAATAGTGCTCAGGCCTTTCGTTCATAGGGTAGCTATGAGTTGTCTACGACTCAATGGCACCTAACAACAACAACTTTGAATACATATTTAAAATATACATATTTCAATCTAAGTACACTTTTGCATGTGCTCTGTATATGTAGGCTATTACTATTCAAAACAGCTAATTCTGCTCATACACAAAATTATGTTTTCTTGTTTTTTATGTGCCATCAAGTCATCTGCAACTCATAGTGACACAACAGTACAACAGCCCTAAACCCTAGTCTATCCTGTGCCAATCTTATTGTCCCTGACACACCTACCCCCATTACCCCAGTCACTGAATCAATCCACCTCATCAAGGGTCTTCCCCTCTTGCGCTGTCCCTCCACCCTCTCAAACATGATGTCCCTCTCCAAGGACTGGTCTCTCCTTGCAACACGCCCAAAGTATGTCACACGAGGCTTCAGAATCCTTGCCTCCAAGGAGCAGCCTGGTATCACGCTTTCTAGGACAAACATGTTTGTTCTCTTAGCAGTCCATCGTACACTCAATAATCTTCTCCAGCACCATAGCTCAAAGGTATCAATTCTCCTTCTATCCTCCAAATTCATTGTCCAGCTCTCTGATGCAAGTAACTGAAAATACCATGGCCCGTATCAGGAACACCTTAGTCTCCATACTGACATTATTGCTTTTCAGTACTTTGGAAAAGTCTCTGACAGCAGACTTTCCCAATGTAATTTGTCTTTTAATTTTCTGGCTGCTGATGCCAAGAGTATATATCATGCCAAAAAATGTAAAAAAACAAATAATAACACAGATTTTTTGGGAACACTAGAATCTAAATGTGGACTTTAAATTGAGATTTAAAATGGCCCCTTAATAACAGCTTTGCAATCTTTTTCTAAAATAAAATTTATTATTTTCATGAAAGTTTACAGAAAAGTTAGATTTTTTTCATTCATTCATTATTACACATTTTACTTCCTCTCCTTCCCTTCCCCAGTTCACTTATTTGGTTTTTAAAACATATTCATTCATTGTTGTGCATTTATCTCCTTCCCCTACTCCCACAAGTCCTCTGTGCAATGTACCTCTTATTCTGGTCTGTTGCCTTATATATAATGCCTAATCATATATTCCTTTTAAGTAGTTCTTTTCTTCATCTGTTTCAGTGCAATGTTTGTTATCTATCTGCTCTTATCCTAATCTCCTAAAGTCCATATCACACAATCTTGACACTAGTGACTTAAGTCTTTGCTGTGACAGAGGTGGAGGGGGTGGGAGGCTGCTACTCTGTATAATGTGAAATGTTCTTAGCTTCTACCTACAAGATGCCAAAGACCAAAAAACAAACGAATAAAAAAATGCCTCCAAACACTGCCAAATCTCCCTCAGTGGACAAAATCATGTCTGGTGGAGAAGCACTGATTATTAAAAGTCATTTTCCCCAAAACCCTCATATATGTGTAGACAGAATCACAAACAGTGCTGATACATACAAGCAGAACTTTTAAACGGCTTTATACCAATCTTAATAAGATGTGCTCTACTTTCCTATTTCTGGAAATCAATTCTATAGTAATGATTCAACTGCATGCATTTATTTGGACACATTTAGCATGCCTCTGAGGCGCTTAAAAGCTCTCATGGAAGAGGCAACCATGTAAACAAACAATTACAGAGTAGTTAGTGTTGAGTGCTGTAATATGCACAGGGACTCCCCCAAGGGAATCAGTAAGCTTCAGAGAGGAAGAATTTCTTGAGCTGAATGTTGAAGGCTCAGAAGGAGTGTTTAAAGGATAGTAGATGGGGAAAGGTTTCCAGGAAGAAAGAACAGCTTGAACAAAGACCTGTAGCAGCATGGCATTGATGATAGATTGGCAAAAGGCTCAGTGCACAGAGATTGTGAAGGAAAGTGGCCAGAGCAAAGACTGTCCAGGTTGGCTGGGTCA